TAAAATTAATTCACTAATGTCAATACCTCTTTCAATTGATAATGATCTTTGTACATCACGATATCACGATGATACAAATGGTCAAAAAAGATGAAGCTCGTAATATTATAATTTTAAAGTATAGGCTAGAAAAAGTATTTTTTTTAACTCTTATAATCCTTTTTTAATAAAATTAAAAACTCAAAATTTGAGTTAAATTCACTTTTATACTGGTTAAATGTGAGGAGAAATCTTAGCTGGGTAAGTGATTATTTCTCATGCAAGACCTCTTACTTAAATTATGTTCAAATTCTTTCCTTCCCTACAACCCCGCACACATGTAACCCTGATTAAAAAATTAAAAAGCTCACCGGATGTGAGAATAAAGAAAAACAAAGACTTACCGTTTATTTGCGGCACATGACTGATTGCCATCTGAGGCCTACTTTGAGTTGATTTCTGTAGTTCAAGAAATTGAGGAGCTTCCTTACCACTCCATTTAAAAAATAATAATTATTAAGGATTTAATTGCTGATATTGACGGAAAAGTAAGTGAATATAAACTTCATCTTCAAAAGATGATTTTTCTATCAACTAAATTATTAGTATTATGTAGTTGTTATAGAAATTTAAATTCTTATTATCAATCTTAATAATAAGATTTTTATTATCATAGAATCATAAATTTTTTAGAATGTTTAAAGTTTGGATCAAATTATCATCTTCTCTAAAATTAAAAAAGTTGTAATTTTTTAAAGAAACACTAAGTTCTAATTAGTTGAAACAAGGTTATTTTCAACATGCATGTTTTTTTTTTTTTAACAGGAGGAAATACAGTATTAAGTTAGTCTCCATTCGAAGAAAATCGAGTCTGAAACTTGACTTACAGATCAAAGTGTGTTCTATCTGCTTCTCATTTTGAAAAAGCATAATCACCATTGCGACCACATCTACGAACCAAAGTGCATTTTACTTGTTTCTCACTTTAAAGAAACGTGCCACTACTGCGACCATATGTGAAAATGCTATTTTCAACATGCATGTTAATTAGGAAAATTGCATCTTTTTCAATTTCTGTAAAGATGACAATTTGCTACAAAGATTTTAAAGAATTTATAATTTTATAATATTAAAAATCTTATTATTAGGATTGATGATAAGAGTTCAACCCTCTAGGACAACCCAATATTAGAATTGATTTTATTTTTATTTTTGTTTTTTTCCCTCGTTTTAGAATAAAAACTTTCTTATCCCATTATATATATTTTCGGTCGGATTCTTATTCCATTATATAAATTGGATTTTTCCAGAAATGTTCATGGTTCATTAATGGGTGAATTTCATGGGTAGACATCCAACTTTATCAAAATCAACATTTTGGTTATTCAACTCATAACTCTAACAAAATAAATAGTCGCGTAGGATATGACGTGACATTAACTGATGATGTGGCACTCATTGGCGGAGCCAAAGGGTTGAAACCAAACAGTAGTCTAAAATTTTGGCTCGGCTAGAGCAATGCTAAGGACAGTCGCCCTTCGCCACCCGCTCCATCACTATCGCCACCGTGTTGCTATGTAGCACCAATATCAAATCCCTAAACCGGAAACTGATTTCATCTGGTGACTTAAGAACTTTTTCCCTTTCTAGTTTTAAGATGGATTTAAAGGGTTTTTTCAAAAGAACATCCTAAAATCGAATCTGCTCCCCTCCTCCAGTCCCCATCTCTTCCTTTGAGACCATGAATGGAAAATCCAGAACTTGTCCCTGATTTTCAAGGCAAAAATACAAGATTTCTTT